GATCTTTTTACGTCCAGCTTTTTTTTATTAGTTAGTTAATGGGAAAATAAAATCAACAAGTTATCAATAATGTAAATGATGTTAATTCATTCAGTTGATTGACAGAGAATTAAATGTGTTACTGTATGTGAATAATTTGGATAAGCTTGTTGATCCTTGGTTATGTTTTCTGTCGGCCATGAAGCAAAAAGGAAAGATCGTACCTCCTCATCAACACAATGTATTTAGCAGCAGATGAGCCACACACACACACACACACACACACTGATGTTAGTGTGCGTTTCCTCTCCTGCAGCCCGTCGAAGCCTCCGACGACGTGTTCTGGGATCAGTTCTGGGTGGACTCCTCCACCACGGTTCAGGATGTTTTCGCTCTGGTTCCTGCGGCAGAGATCAGAGCCGTCAGAGAGGAGTCTCCGTCAAACCTGGCAACCCTCTGCTACAAGGTGCTGTATAAATCAGTTTTACTCCCACATGGAATGAAAACCTTAAACACTCCACCCTGTGTCGGCCCTCTCTCACACGTTTAAGGCTTCTTAGGACGTCTTCTGTCTGATCTTCGTTGCCACCAGCTGCGAGGACGTCTGTATGTTGCTTTAGAGCAGCTTTTGTCCATCCTGGATACAGTCGGAGACAAAGGAATGCAGCTGTTTGTTGTTCCCACAGTTTGATGGCAAAGGTCAAACGTCATTTATAGAAATGCAGAAAAACAGAGAAACTAAGCCTGAAGATCATTTGGTAGTTTAAGGTTTTAAAGGGCAGAGAGCTGCTTGGGTGACTGGATGAAGGTCATGTGACAAAAAGATGTGCTTTTAAAAACTCCCGAGGTTTTATTTGGTTCATGTGGAACGACCCGTGTTTTTCACTATAAGCTGAAAGAAGCAGCCGCTGGACAGAAACAGCTGCAAGTGTTAATGTGTTTTAGTGCAGCTACAAAGGCTAGCTGGTCAGAAGATATGCTATTGAAGATTTTATGCATTTATTTGTCATGCATGATGGTCACACTGATTGGGGTCCAAACCCAATTTGCTGACATAGTTTTACACCTACAAGTACGATGAAGTCACGTAGAGTTTAGAAGAATGAGTCGCTGTAATCAAAACAAGCTCAAACTAATGAGTCCACTCACCAATCAGAAGCTTGATGCTTCAGTCGCCTGGTGAAAATAGAATTTTCCAACACTTTTTGTGGCCTTTAAATAAGATGATGATTGACAGGTGAATAAATAAGAGTAGGCTTTTTCCTGTCTTGGTTATTTCATCTCATACTTGTGTTGGTTTTTTCCCAGGCAGTGGAGAGGCTGGTCCGGGGAGCAGACTCCGGCTGCCCCTCGGAGAAAGAGCGCCAGACCGTGTTGAACTGCACCCGCCTGCTCACCCGCATCCTGCCCTACATCTTCGAGGACGCCGACTGGAGGGGCTTCTTCTGGTCCACCATCCCCGGCAGAGCGGGGGTACGGCGCTGACATCTTTTAATGTATTCATCTACGTGGCTGTTTTTAGTCTATACTGGCCATTTCATTTCATTTATTCCAAGTAAAAACACCAAATATTTGCAGCTTTATTGTCACATATGAAATGATGATGTTTATATATTTTGCAGGTATTAGTTTGGTAGCTGATTAAATGCTTTTAGTAACTTTTCAATCAAAAGTAGAGACAGAAAAGTCAGAATCTATAAACTGATCTTTGCAAAAGACGAAGAAGAAGAGGGGGAAAAGGGAGAAAGTTATTTAAGAACTCCTGCCACGTCTCAGAAAAAGCATTTGGAGGAAATCTTTTAGCTTGCAGACAGTTTGTTAGGTTTAATCTGTCGGCTCTGCGGATATCTGAGGACTTGAGCCTCTCTGATATCTCCACCTTTAATAATCTGCGCCGGTTCAAAGCGATGGTTCCATCTGATTCTCAGAACAGACTCTGCAGTGTGAGATGAGATCGCTGATGCTTTGACGTGTCTGTCCAAATCCCTCCTCTCCCTGCCTTCCCCCCGTTTCCCACCTAGGGCTGCTGGGTCTCTGGTTACCCGGTCGGCAGGGGACTGCGTCCAAACACTGCCCATATTGTGTCTCCTGCTCTTTCTGGCCAGCGGTTGAATTTAGAAGGGATTGAATGTCTCTTAATGAAAGTGGGAGACTGAAATAAAGTGCAGAGCAGCTGCAGGTTGGAGCAGGCTGATTACTCAGTATTGTATGAATGAAACGACTCTGTGTGGCTAACGGATGGTTGAACTCTTATATTTGATTATGGATTTATGCTGCGGAAAGATACAAGTGGACAGTTTGGAAAAACCTGTATATGTGGTTTAGAGTTAAATGTGATGACACATCCATCATTTTCTTGTCTGTTTGTTCAACATGAAGCTAAAACTAGCAGCTAGGTAGCTTAGCCTTGAATAAAGTATAGCGTAAAATGTCAGTTTAACTCATAATTGATCTTTCCAGGACACAAAGTTAGACGTAATAAGAATGACTTTTGGTTTATTTGGGTTATGTCTATTATGCATGCTTTTTGGAGGGACAGGAGCTACGCTCCACGTGTTTCCTCCATTTTCAGGGATCCTGCTGAGTTAGCCAGTGACTTGAGTTAACCAATAGCAGTACTCATCTTTTAACTCAAGACATGACAGAAAAAAAGCACATTTTCGGAAGCTGGTCCACCAAATAAACAAAAGAATTAGATCTTTTTTGACACACTACACTCACGGGCTGATGAGCTGTCTGTCACACAGAAAAGCTTTACTGTCCTGTTCTTATGGGGACCATAACTTCAAAGATAATCACTGTGCTGTAGTCAATAAAATGTAAAGCAAGCAATTAACCCTATAATGTCATCAGGAATAATATTGCTGAGTTGATATAGCAAAGGAAATGAGGGTAATTTTCCCAAAGATTTCTATAGAACTAGACTTGACTGGAGTAGTCGCCCCCTGCTGGCCATAATTAAGAATCAACTTTAAGTTGATGGGCCATTGGCTTTACGCTACATGTTACTTTCTATATACAGTCTGTGATTTAAAGCAACTAATTGGGACTTAAGTGACATAAAAACCAACTCTGAAATGGATCCAGAGCAGCACAAAGACAACAAATTGACTTACCAGCAACGATACAGTAAAAGTACCATATGAGTCACAGCCTCAGCTCTTCTCCCTCCAGCACTTGGACCACGATGCTGATGACGAAGGTCGGCCTCTGGCTGAGTCCCTGCTGCTGGCCATTGCTGACCTGCTCTTCTGTCCAGATTTCACCATCCAGAGCCACAAGAAGAACAGCCCGGTGAGTCTGGCAACCCCCCCGCATCACTGATCATGGAAAAGTAGCCTTACTCATTATGTAACTGGTCACAGCTGCTCCTCCCTAAGCCTGGTTCTGCCCGTGTTTCTCCCTGTTAAAAGACTGTTTTTCCTTCCCACTGTCAGCGAGTACTCGCTCACAGGAGGTTGTTTGATTGTTGGGATTGTTGGGTTTGAAATATTTAATTTCTGGGCTTTTAGGGTCTTAACATGGTTTGTTTGCTTTGTTTTAGCTCTGAATCAACAGCCATGTCAGCACTTTACAGCTCATATAAAAGAAGCAAGCCTGTTATTTGCTCCTGTGGCAGCACCTCTTAGCGCCGTTATCTCTTAACACAACCTTCTCGGGCGGTAGCTCAAGTTAATGAGTGACTCTGTGGGACGCGAGGAGAGGGGCCATGTTTGGAAAGGGTGGAAACGTCTTTATTGTGCTCAGCAAACATTCAGACGTTTGACAGACTGGGAGGCGATCTCATTGGATGACTCCTTACTCCTTGCTACCTCACGAGGAAATGTTAAAATCAAGGAAGTTGTGCAGGAGAATGTGGAAAATAGCCAGCAGCTGCTGTTTGTTCCCACCTGCCCCAGTGACCTCTGAGGCGTGACGCAGGCATGTGCACAAAGAAACACATGGCTGGAGGGAAACCTCATTTGGGCCTTGAATTTCAGCTTTCACTTCCTGGTACAGATTTAGTGATGCAGAGGTCAAA